CTTTTATGTCACCAAGAACCTTGTTATTCACAGTGCGGGCCACGAACCAGCAGCAGTTTCTGCCTCGCCTGGTCGTTTGTCGAAAAGACAATCTCGCCCCCCCTCCCCATCCCCTGCCTACGGAATCAGAATGGAGATTTTTTTAAACAGATCTCCAAATGATGCATATGCACCTGAAAGTTGGAGAATCCCTGAGTTGTGCTGTGGTGTGCGTGCATACACACACACACACACACATGCACACACACGTGCGCACACAAACACGTGTGCACACACACAAATGTGTGCACACACACAAATGTGTGCGCACACACAAACGCGTGTGCACACACAGACACGTGTGCGCACAGAGACATGCACACATACACACGCGTGTGCACACATGCACGCACACCCTGCCTCTGGCCAGTGCTGGGCAGAACACAGAAGCGTCACCAGGGCAGCATGTTAAAGCCACAAGTACCCAACCTTTTCCCCAAAGGTATTCTGATTCCATAAATCCAGGGCAGGGTCCCCAAAACTGTGGTTTTCATGAACTCTGAGGTGGCATCAGATTCGAGACCCACCCACTTCGGTCACCTGTAGAGCCAGCCCAGACCCCCCCCCCACCGCTGGAGCAGCGTGGTTGATTCCCACATCATCCCAGCAGAGGGAATGAGCCTCTCTATCACATTCGTGTTTCAAAGAACTGAAAATGCAGTCACCTCGAGCACTCCCCTTTGTGGTTGTTCGTTAGCGAGACGAACAGCTCAGAAAGACGAGCTGTTTCTCGCGTTGGAAAATGTCGTTTTGCACTTGGCCAGCTCTCACTGGAAGCATGGCTTCCGGGGTACAGAAAAGAAAAGCCCGTGACTCTGACCATGGGGCTGTTTTCATTGTCACAGGTTGTATAGAAAGCAGCTGTGATCGTCCGCGTCAGATGCTTTTACACGGAGCCCACCCCCGTGGCAGCGGACACAGGGACCTGAGGGCAGAGCATCTGCAGCGATCTTTATGGTGCTTATTATGCCGTAGTTTACATTTGTTATCTTTTGATCCTCACGATAACCCCATAAGAAGCGAGGAAGTGTGTTTCATAGATAAGGAAACCCCATCACAGCCGGCCATCAGACGCTGATCGACGGCAGGTCCAACTGTGACCTTTGCCGAGAATGTGCCTCATTTTCCCAGGCAGGAGAAAACATCGCAGATCAACTAAATGTGAATCTCTCGAGAGGGTCGGTCTGGAATCGTATACGGTTGTAAAAGCACCCGAGGTGATTCTAGTCTCGGCCAGGGAGGGACCCGTGTGTCTCTGCATCACAGAATCAGGCAGGCTTCGTCCCAGCAGCCTCTCCATCCGCAAACATCTCCAGGAGCCCAGAGACTTGATTGCATCTGGACATACCCATGAATATTGTAAGCTTGAGAGAATCAATCACGCCTTCCCGCAGCATGGCTGTTTCAGCCGGGTCATCCGGTATTCACTGCAGGACAGAGGTAAAAGCACGAAACTAGGACACGCGCGCGTCAGCCCTCGCTCTCCCGTTAACTTGCCACGTGGTTTGGGGCCAATTGTGTAACTTCTCTGAGCGCCGTTCTGTTTCAGCCGCTTAGCTTCCAGCACCAAGATGTCACCTTCAAGATCAGGCGAACCCAATTTCTTCATTAGTCCAAACGATGCTGACAGACCACTGGGCAAGGACTCACCTCGCTGTGCCAAAATGAGTGCCCTGTGTGCCCAGAATATTCTCAGGACCCCCACATTCTAGCCAAGCCGCCCGCTCTGCCCGATCCCCCTTCCGTGCCTTCTTCCTGCCTCCCGTCCCAAAGGGGCGCCCATGCTCGCCAGGCCGACGTCGCTTTAGATTTTCAGGGGTGCCCTTATTTGCCCCAAACACCAACCCATTTCACTGTAGTCCAGACACTGGTTAGCTCTCACCCTCATGTCACCCAAAGGTGCATCCAGACCCCGTTCAAACCCAGCCACAAACCTCGAACCGCAGCACCCCGTCCCTCAGTGTCTAAGAACTGCTGACGTCCAGGAGGTCTGATGGCAGCCCCCCCCTCCCCCACCGTAGCAGAACCCCTGGGATGTGGACATCGCAGTGGCCGAGTCCTGGTTGTGTCACCCCCAATTTGCACGACTGACCGCTGTCCTCAGGAAGCAGGCACTCCCACGCCCAGCTTCTTCCCTCCAGGCCCCCTCCTGCTGCACAGCCTGGTCCCTGCAGCTCCCACATCGTCCGCCAGCCAGATGGAGTTTATCTGTGTCTAGAAGCCTCTCCCAGGTGTAGCGAGGGGAAAAGATACACACGTGGCAGCAGCTTGCACAACCGAAACGGCCAGACATTCCCGATCTTTCGCTTAGGCTTGGTTTTGGTTTTTACCATCAGCTTAAACTTGTAATTAAAGTTAAATCGGAAAACAGCTTTTCTTTGGAAGAGACGACGTTTGGGTTCGTGATTCGATTTGTGTAATGTCGTTTTAGTTGGCAAACGTTTTTTCAGAAATGTCCCCTGCGAGATTCGTATGGAATGTGTCTGTACTGGGACATTCGCCGGCCATGCTGTGGCGTGGCGCCATTTCTAAAATGCCGACTCAGCCGTTCTCAAAACGTTCGAGCATGTTCCTTAAACACTCACAGTGACGGCCGAGGTATCTCTACCAGTGGTCTTCTCATGGCCAAACCCCGCGTGACTCCTGGTGTGGCCGAGGTATCTCTACCAGTGGTCTTCTCATGGCCAGACCCCGCGAGTCTCCTGCTGTGTCTTCCGCTGGAGCGTTTAGTATGTGTCCGGCTCCCTTTCGTTTCCTTAGAAGAAACAAAGCGTCAGGGAGATAGATCTGAGAGGGCCCTGGGTGCTGAAACTGTGCCGAGATGTTTTTGGTAGACTAACGAGCGTAGTCTTCAACTTATTTTATATGGCATTTTTTAATGAGGTTTTTTAAATCGTTGTGACGCTGACAATCACTTAACTGTCGTGAAAAGCTGTAAGGAGAACCCCATTCTAGGTGTGGAGCTATGGTCTGCTCCTCTGGTTATACTGAGGATGTACTTGACCTTGCCTGTGGGAGCAAGGCAGGCCCAGCGTTGCACCTTACTCATCGTGTGTGTGTGTGTGCATGTGCATGAGTGTGTGCGCGCACGTGCATGCATATTTGTGTGCTTGTGTGTGTGTGCACGCATGCTTGAGTGTGTGCGTGCATGAGTGTGTGTGCGCGTGCATTAGTGTATGTGCGTGCATGAGTGTGTGTGCATGTGTGAGTGTAAGTGTGTGCGTGCGTGAGTGTGTGTGAGTGTGTGTGCGTGTGTGGGGGTCGAGAGGGAAGGTACCCCCAAATAGACCCAGTTTTAAACGCGTTTAAATAA